GGCGCCACTACGCCCCCTTCCTCCGCGACCCCCCCACCCGAGTCACCAAAGCCAAGCAAGCTCGGACACCAGTCGGCGGACGCGGTAAGTGGCGTTTTCTGTGTCAGTTTGCCGATCTGTGGACCACGTGCACAGTTAGCCAGATTCTCGTGCGGTTACCTGGTGAAATCCCGTTTTGATTCACGTCGGTCTGTGAGAGAGAACGTTTAGGTATCGCTTCTCCCAGCATCCGAATCTGTTTCGAAGTAAATTTGCTGTCCTGCACCAAATGATCCCAGCCAAGTTAAACTGTCATTTATCCCTGTTTATTAATTTATCTTACGTCTGTTCATATCACTTTTTTTCCATTCGGTCGTTCCATCGAGCTGTAATCAGGTTACGTCACCATGGTAACCGTCACCAAATTTCATGCTCTAAGGTCACCACGTAATGGTTGAAGTCTTTCCGTCAAAATTGAAAGATGCGATTAGGTGGCGGCTACCACGGAGTAATCGACCCGCGAGATCACCAGCTAAAATGTTCGGTTGACGTGATGGCAAATACGCTGACGTTAATTTTCCCTTCGGGGTCATCGAGCAGTCGCCTTTCAACGATGAAAGAAAGTGTCACGTATAAAATTCTGTCTCCTTCGACAGAAATGTAAAGTAAGGATATGGAACTTAGGGTTTCATATGAGATACTTTAACCTCACTTTTAATCTTAAACTGCCACATCGTAGAATCCTGGAAATATTTTGGATCGGACTCTTTTTCAGAAACTTCCCAGTTTCGGAAACCATATTGCATCCGTTCCTTGTTTAACAACATTCAATCACATGCAGACGTTACGTAATAGTGATACCCAGTTCAAGATTTGAGCCGGTCTTTCATTACTACTGGCCTCGCGTAGTCGATTTGGAACCGAAATTAAATCACACGCTGACAGTGATCGTGAGGTTCTGTTACTCGACGTACCACCAGACTACTGTTGTATCTGCACGTCGTTAAGTAACAATACTAGTCTTGTGGTTTCCGCCAAGCGTTTGAGAATCGTAACATTGCACGTGGTCTGGTAAAGTGTGGTATCCATCGTACATGTCCAGAGCTCGATTCCAGGTGCCTACGTGTTCTTAGGCAGGAGGGTCTTCGTAATGTTAATGGTACAGGACAAGGAAAGGTCTGGGTCGATAAGAGACAGATCACACAAGGATCTGAGAGGAAGGCTAGGTTTTGAAAGAGAGGAAAAGGTCCTTTAAGATGCTGGAAAGGTGGGTTAAATCAGGGGTAAACTGGTCGTTTCATCCATTAGGGTAGAATTCATGGAGGTCATTTTGCAGATTGTCGACATCTTCACCGCCTTGAGAACCTTAAATGTTACTTTTGTCGGGTATTTGGCCGGTTTTAATCACGTCTGGACCATATCAGGATTTTTCTTTGTAATGAGCCTTGTAAGATACAAGTTGCCCTGGAGTATCTGTTGACGTGGAGGCGTTCAATCGCCAATAATTCTGTAGTACAACCCGTTCAATGTATGTCAATGTCGTGGTTCTCGCTGCTGAGTTGACTCGAGGCAGTTTTGTAGTCCACTAACACCCACAGCCTAATTACATTTTATAAGGAGCCTAAATGATTCGTGAAATGAACCTTCCTCATTTTCAAGTGTGTAGTCTGGTAAAATTTGCAGGTGTTTGTATGTTGTATTGGTCGTGGCCTGTTTTGGGGGGCAGAATCTTCACGGATATCTCCTAGTATTAACGTGCGTTTAGGTGGAATTTTTGTACTGGAAGGTTTTAATGCAGTGGTTGTGATCTGTTTCCCTTGTTCTCTAAGTAAATATGGAGGTATGTTGGTATTATCTGTGTTACGGACTGACTGCCCTTGTGTTTTGTTCCTTTTTTAAAAGCGTTTGAGTTCTTAGTAGTCCTCTGTTCTGTAGAATATCAAGCAGCAACATAGTGGCCGCATTAAACGTTTATTTAGCGTTTGATTTGTTGGTCATAACTAATGAATTAGGAATTTTAAATTCTGTGTGAAACAAATCTTTAACGTGCCTACAAATTTCGTATGTTATAAATTACAACACGATGATTCAAAATTTTGTAGTTTGTTTGCATCTGGCGTGTTTGACCTAGACTGTCAGTACTTTCCAGAATTATGCACTAAAATGGATCACTGGTGCCTGTTAATTGGACCATATTGATTGAAGGAAAGTTGGTTTTGTAAGTTCTTAGAACCGTTTACCCTTCAGAATTTCCTGATTTCTCTCGGTCTTGGAAATCAGTTCCAAGTGTTTTGTGGTTATTGTCTCGGAACCACCATGAATTTTTTTAAAAGGGTAAGATTGTGACAATTTTATGCGCGATTATAACGGGTATATGCAATCAGTGCAACGTTTGGGACTTGTACCCGCAATCCCTTAGAATAAACAACGAGATCATTTGGATGGGTCCATTATTACGCGTTTGTTATTTGTGGCTTTCGTGTTATCGGGCTGCTTCTGAAGGACCCGTGTAGCCTACTCTCAAACTGGGTACGTCTTCTGCATTTGTTTCGCTATCATTTTAATTCGCTGTCACCTGTTTTAATTGGCTCTGTGTCTTGCCGCGGATTGGCCCGGGCCGGCTGTAATTTAGCCACATGAGTATTTTGGTGCAGTTGGCACTGCGCCTGCGTGCGGTGTATCGTCGTCTGGTTGTAAAAGTTTCCCAGTTATATTCGCGCAGTTATAACATGTTACCGATTTAGCGGGGGTGGATAAGGACGATCCCTTTCGCTTTCCGTGCAGTGTGAATGCCAGTGAAGTGGGTGAATGTATTTTGGACAGGCGATGGGCCCCATTGGTCGATGGTGACGGGAATTAGTGCACACAATTTCGTAACTTGTGCGCACGGGAACTTGGGAGGGTGACGTACAGTCGAGATGTTCTTGCTGTGAATGTGTTTGGTTTTGGGCGAAGGTGGCGTGGACATTGCTCGAATGGATTGTTTGGCTGTTGTGGGCCTTTCTTCTGCCTGGGGCCCTCTACTCCTTGGTCCTAGGCGCTCTCCAGCCCTTCTCACATCACAACAGTTGTCAGGTGGAATCGTACCTCAGAATAACCTCAACGGTCACTTTTAACAAGGTACTGACAGCAGGATCCCTGTTATGGGATGGCAGTGATCATTTCACTGGAGATCTAGTGGGGTTGTCAAAGACCTGGGTTCGATACTTCCTGCAGTATGATGACGTTTGATAGGTTTATAGGAAATGTCCACTTTGTCTAAACTGGCTTTGAGAATGATAAAAAGCCTAGCCACATTTGTTGTGCACTTTGCAGCTGCTGTTTCACAACTCTGCTCTTTGAGCTGTTTTTTATGTGGAAAAGACAATTTTAGCATTTTGTAGGATTTGATTTTGTATGAATAAATTTGATTTTGTAGTTGTAATTCCAGAAATTAACATCTTTTTGCCCAGAAATTCCTACTACAGTAGTAGAGACAAAAATGTGATGGCTAATTAAGCTCAAACTCAGCCATTTGACAGATTTTATCGATTTTCTCCCTCTACAGTGTAGCACTGTTCATTTATAGATGCATTTATGTATCACTATAGTGTTTGAATTAGTAGTTGTAATGATTCTTTTGTTTATATATGTTTTGAGGTTTTCACAGCGGTGAGTATGAAGATTTCTGTCTTCTGGGTTGTTGCGCTGTGTAGTCTGGTCGATGTTAACCAACGTTTCAGAGGTCATGACGGAGTGTGACCTCTGAAATGTTGGTAAACATCGACCAGACTACACGGCACAACAAACCAGAAGACATCAATCTTCATAGTTTTGTGGAAAACCATCAATCTGAAGGAACACATTAATTAACAAGTTATACAATAAGATTTGGGGTTCTCGTGGCAGCGTAGATGTCGGTGTTAGTCTTCTGGGTTGTAACACCATCTTTGATGGAGGCAGTATTTTTATTCAAAACGTTGGTAACTACCTGTGAATCCACATGCTGTTATAACACAGAAGACCGACCTTGTGGTTAACGTATGTTGCCTATTGCTGGTGATGGGATGTCATTGTTCACATCATCTGAACAGTTATTTATCTTATTGATGTTTGGTTTGTGTTGAAGTGAGGCTTGAATCATCAGCTGTTTAAATGAATGGATACAAATTCCTGGCATTGGGCTCATAGCACTAAGCTTGGAAACTTTAAAATACTGCCTTTATTTCTATAGAAGTCAGGAATGTCTGTGATCTTTCAGATCACTTAACTATGTATTGCAAAATGCAACAGGAGCTTATGTGGCTTATGATCATTGTAGAAAGAAGTTCGGTGAGTTATTTTGTTATGTTCATCAGTTCTCAGTTGACATGTATGGATACCACCTTCTGATCTAACCTTTTTGTGACTTGTCTTGCAAGTTTGAACT